AAAAAAAAGAGATGAAAAAAGGGGAGAAAAAGAAAGAAAGAGAGGCAATGTGTCTAGAGAGAGAGAGAGAGAGAGAGAGAGAGAGAGAGAGAGAGAGAGAGAGTGTGTGTGTGTGTGTGTGTGTGGGGAGAGAGGGGGAGGAGGCCCGTCATGCCACCTCACACACTTGAGGTGGGGGGTGGAGGACAAGGAGAGGGAGCGGCGGCCGCAATCAACGGCCTTCTGTGTGGTAGCGGGCGCAGGGCAACGGAGGCGAACGCCCATTGTCTGCTGGCATCAAACACACACACACACACACACACACACACAAGAGTGGCGGGCCCCGCGCAACTGCGCGCGCTGCCCTTCCTATTTACCTACCTACATACCCACCGTGCCACCTTGCATGCTTTCGTGTCGGTCGCTAAAAGCGGTCGCTTTTCTCGAACCGACGGCCGGGCGCAGGCGGCTGCCTGCCTGCCTGCCTGCCTGTCTGACCATGTGTTGGGATGATCCGGGAGAGAGAGAGAGAGAGAGAGCTTCTGTTTGTGGTCTCCCATCTCTGTCACACCACTGTCTCTTCATTTCCTCCACTGCTGATCAACAACATCATGGCGCAGATGAAAATGAACACGGACAAAAAAAACCATCGAACCACAAGACACATGGGGGTGTCACCTGAACTGTCCTGTCTGCCAGCCGGCTCGCTCACATCGAGAAAAACAAGTATTCATCGTATAGAGAGAGTCCTGGGATCGGCTGCAGCCACGCACGAAAAGCTCGGCCGTGCATGTGAGCAGGCTGTGACTTCAGCTTGCCAGAACTCCAAGCTAAGGAAACCGGTAACTCTGCTGGGACGACGGCCAGCAGAAACGGCCTTCTGGCCGTGCCGACCGCCTTGGACCGTCCCCGGAACGCCGCTCCGACTGGCGAGGCCCCATCTCACTCATTGCCACGTTGTCAACCCATACCACGCAACTTGGCCTCCATGACCCAACATCGACCGGTTGGCGCTATCTGTTGGCAGTGGGGTCCGGCCGTTTATGCGGCCGACTATGGCGGCCGGCGCAGGGCTGGAGTTCTCGGTTCCGCCGGCGCCGATGTTGGCTGTGCCACTCGCTGGCTGGGGAACTCGCTGGGCGAGCTGCTCCGATTGGTGCATGGGAACGAGGCGGGAAAGTGGAAAGCCGCCGACAAGTGTACGTCTTGGACCTCGAGCACATTGCTATTCATGTACCGTCGCTGTCTGCTTTATGGCCATCGCCCCATGCTACCCAACTTTCTTGTAGCCACAGTATCGCATCGCCATACAAACTCCGGAGCCAGTAAGTACAGAAAACCAAAACAAAGTACACAAAATCATTCGGAGTTTCTCTAACCGATTCATCCCGGGTGGGTAAGAAAAAGAAAGAGAAGTAAAGCCCTCCCAAGAAATAGCATAGAGGAGGTAAAACAGACAAAAAAAACATTATGGAAAGAAGGAAGCGCTGGCTAGGGAAACACAGAGGAAATGACATAATCACCGGCCGTTTTGCTGACATTCAGAAATAGTTGACAGTATCCGTTGACAAGGATAAAAGGGTAAACTCTCAGGGTATTACAGAGTGACTTGTAGGTCTGAATGCATTCTGGTTTCATCCGAAAATAGTTGCCGGATAGCGACCCCGGCCGAAAGCCATCCACCCAACAAGAGACGGCTTCCGTGATAGGTGGTAGTTACAGAGTTGGGTATGAGAATACAGTTGAGAGGCGGTTCGCACTCGCTCATCGAAAAGGCGGATAGGGTGGGTAACGGATGAGGGGTGAGGATGGACTGGCTTCCATCTGCCGTACTTTCAGTCTCGCGGAGGTACCTTTGCGGTCCATATGTAGCTATACATGGGTCGGTTAGTTTACCGCGAAGCTGAGGGGCAACAAAGAGATACTCACAGAATGCAGTACAGGCCGGTAGTCCACTTCTGCGACCTTACCTCGGCTTGGGCAGCATCGTCTAGCTCCTCAACGTACCCGGGTTCCCTCCCCGCGACGCGTGTAAGTGGGCCCAGCGCCATTGGCCAGAAGCTCTGTATCAGGGCGAGCTGGAACCACCGACCGACAAAGCGCCCAAACTCGTCATCAGGCCAGTGGCTGACGGGTATCATGACGGCATCCTCCTTGATGTCGACGAACCCGGCGGCGAGAAGGGCAGCACGCGTCCCTGGCGGGTCTGGTCCCAATGGCGTTCCGTTCCGCTCCATTGCCTCGCTAACCTCGTCGTTCCATCGTTTCAACCCCGGCGCAAGGGGATAATCGTCGTTCCGAAAGGTCCAGTCCAACTCCTTGTGCTCAAAAACGCCAGTTCCGGGTTTCAGATTACTGTCGTCGTAGACATTTAGCATACCTGTCTCTCTCAGGCGGGGAGAGACGAGAGAATGAGAAGAACTTACGCTGCGATGTTGCTGTACATTGTCGACCACGATCGTATGGCACCCCTCATGAGCTGACAGTGGACGTAGTCATACGGCGCGTGGGCCACCAAGTTGTCCGTCCATGGCTCCTCGACATTGCCGCGTTCGAAGCTGACAGTATATGGGATACTGAAGGTCGCATGTCGGCACTGGTTAGTTGCCACAAAACCCCACGAAACAGACGAATCCCAGAGAGCCGCTTTTCCAGATTGCCTACCTTTCAGGTTGGTTCATCTGCACGTCGACACCGACGAGGAGGCAGCCATCCTTGGGTCTGCGGAAGTTGCCGTTAGCCTTGGGTAAGCAATAGTTTTGGTGTTTGCTGGCTGTCGCATCTGCCACCATCGAGTTAATACTCACCCTACTTTCTTGGCGAGCTCCATGAGCCACATGCCTGACCCACAACCAATATCCAGGACATGTGAGCCTTCCTGCACGCGAGTCTCGGGGGCAGGAAGACGGTCCTGGAGGGCAAGATCAAAGATATGATAGTAGAGATCAAGCCTGTCATGCTCTTTCTACAAACCCAGAAGGCTGTTAGCGGTATTCTCGATTTCGAGGCCATGGTTCTAGATCGCCCACCTTGTCTGCTGGGAAGAGGTAATTTGGAACAGGATACACCTGCCATAGCCTCCCCAAATTCCATCTTAGATTCTCTGTCGGCGCCTTTTCTGAGGCATTTCTGGACGCGCATTGTTAGCCGCAAACACAGCAGTTCCCCATGCCGACAGCCATCCAGACCCTAGCGCTTACTGCTGATCCTGATTCAGTGCTCGATGCCCATTGCGGGTCTCTTCCGCGGTCTCAACCATCACGCAACAGCCTTGTTGGGTGTGTCAAGTAATGTGCAACAAAGAGAGAGCCGACGGGGAGATATATAGAGCTGCAAAGCGGGAGGTCTGTGTGAGATCGAGTTAGTACATCCACCCCAGGACAAACGAGGGCGCTGGCGGCTCAAAAGCTCTGAGCAATCGCTAGACATTGTTGGATATGCAGGGATGTCTTGTCGTATGAGATCGAACTCCGGGGCCCGTTTTTTGGGGAGGGGGTTCAGCGGAGAGTGCGATTTCAGGTGTGTACAACCTACCGAATAACGGCCAAGACAAGTAGGTGTATGTGCCCAAGGAGAGAGCGAGAAGGGACAAAGGCAGTGAGAGACTCTGAAATGGACGACTGCAGGCCTGTAGTGGGATATCACACTAGAATTGCCTACACGTGGTCAACAACAAGTTGATGACGCACCAAAGAGACCCAACAAGGCGATTTCGCCACCCTAGGTCGAGCGTCCGGGGCTCCGTCCGTGTATTCGGACACGGGGAGAGCGGAACAGTCGAGGGGACCAAGGCTTATTGCCCACGCTGCGGGCGTAAAGATGGCTAAGCAAGGGCGAGGCCAAGGGTGTTTGCCAGGCGCATGCGGCGACGAGATGGGATGTAGGCGGTGGGTGGGTGCAGCAGCAGGTGGATTTCGGCAGGCGTGACGATGCGGCGAAGAGCGGTGGCCAGGCCGGGAAGGAGTGCGGGAGGTATTTGCCGTAGGCCGGGGCTTCGTATGCGGTGATGGGCGATGTGCGACGCTGTGACCAGGGGCTGTCGTCGAGAAGCCGGGAGGGCGGGATGCCTTGCTAAAATACCCGAGCGCCTTCAAGAGCTGTGTGATGCGAGCGCCCGGCTCATGCTTTATTTGTCTTATTTTTTATTTTTTATTTTTTTGGGGGGGAGCCAGGGACAGCGCGGTGGACCTCTAGGACCTCTAGGCGGCCCAGTAAACAACCTACTGAAGTACTGGAGGCCTGGAGTATATGCCGGGTTAGTTTGACGCCCCTGCAGCCACGTCCCAAACGGCTGGTCTGAGGTGATGTCGAGTCGGTGTGTTTTTTTTTTTTGCTTTTTTCTCCTTCCCCCTCCTCCCTTATTCCCCTCGCCTTGAGGTATTCGCACTTGCCACTAGCTCCGTCTCTGAGACGGAACCCCCCACAGAAAGAGTGGGATCGGGAGAGTAAAGCGAGCGCGCAAAGGGTGCGAGGGAAGGCGGCGGACAGGAGAGAAGGCCTGGGGTACATGTATGTATACGTTGGTTGGTCCGCTCGTTGGTTACGCTGGGCAGGATTTTTGGCTGTAAAAGGGGAACAACGCGAGACCGGTCGGTCAGATGAGCAGACGAGTGGACGAACAGACGCAGCAAGCAGCATGGAAGGGATGGAGGCAGCACAGTATGGAAGAGGAAAGTACCTGGGTCGGCAGGTAGCATGCATGGAATCCTCTCAATCAAGCCAACCCTGCAAGGCAGCGCCACGCCGGTTGGCTCTGCGGCATCGAGGATAGGGAATCGACGGTGTCCTTTTTTTTTCCTTCGCGGATGGCTTCTGCATCGCTTCCCCCAGCAGAAACGCCCACCGGGCTGCTTGGGTGCCATCCTTCTAACCACGCACACCCCCCGGGAGCGCCTGCCTCCTGCGTGCCTGCCACTGGACTTTTTGCCCCTCCATCCATTCGCTCCCCGACTCGACGTCGCTCGAATTGGATGCTACACTCCCGTTGGGAGGGTGGGCCCTAGAGCGGGCCTCTTACACTGTTTCGGTACAAATCGGTATAAGGTGGGGTAGTCATGGTTGGGTGCAGCGAGGGCACCACCGCCTTCGCAAACGATTGATGGGCGCGAGGAGACACAACAGGCACAGCAGGCACAGCCCAAGACCGGGGCCTGTCTCCACATTCCGCCTACCCTACCTCTGACCTTCCAGGGAGACCCGACCATGCGTTCTGGGATGGCAATCGAAGCCGCCGCACCCCTTCCCCCTCCCCGCCATGGCCCGCTGTGCTGCTGCCAGGTGGCGCCTGCTGGGCTCCAGCGGCCACCAGCTAGCCGTCAATTGACTGCTTGGGCTATCGCAGCTTTCCGGCGAAAGCCCGCAACGAAACAGCAGCAGCGACATCCCATCGCAAACGTACTATCTAGCCGTGCACAACCCACTCGATCAGTCCAAAGCCGCCGCTCCGTTCCTGTTTATTGCCGACCCGCTTCTGGGCTTCGTGGTGGATGGGTGGCCGACCACGCCGACTTGTTTCCATGAGCGGAGAGATGAGGAGCCCCTCCTTCGATGCATCCCCGTCATTGCTGCATGGATGGACGGGATTCATGGAAAACACGGTCCTTGCTCACAGCCCTGACAAGAGGAGCGATCCCTGCTGGTTCTTGACATGCCGCCCGATCTGTCCGTCGAATGGACTTTGTTTCTGGGGCGCCGGCCAGTGGTTGCAGCCGGGAAGGTAGGAAAATAAAATTGATGAACCAACCAGACAAAAACACGAAAAAGGGCCGGTTGGGAGCACCAGCCAACCTGTCTGACCCACCCCCAGCCATGATGTCGTGACGGTTCCTCTTCTATCAAGATTGCGTTCCTCTCCGGGCCCCCCTTTTTTTTCTATTGGCGGCTACAGCCGGCGGCTTTCTTTGTGGAGCGATCACCAGGTCAATCCTCGAACAAACAGCATGCGCCCTTGTGGGAATGATGGTCCAGGTACCCCTGCCACAGCAATGCCCCGAAACTCTGGTCTCCAGGTGGGTTGGTGCCAGTACGGCGTTGCCGCTCCGTGGCCAAGAGGACAAGGTCTAGCCAGAGCCAGATTCGCGGGAAGGAAGGTGGTGGTGATGGATCGAAGTACCTGGCAGGTATTCTTTGCGGGAAAGCGGGAAGAGAAGGTGCAGCCTAGACAAAGACAGCCAAACAATTGCCATCAGCCAATCCTTGGGAATCACAGATGACGATGATACCGAGCATTAACTCCACACTTAAAGATACAGGCAGCAGCTTAAAACTCTTTGAAAGCCCATGCGTGCAGTAGCACGTTTTTTTTGGCGCGCACGTCTGTGTTGACGTCGGATGACGCTAGACGTTCCTCCCTGCTCCGCAACCCTCACGAAGGTTCCTTCCTACCTTACCCACCCACACACCCACACAACACACACCACCAACACCGCCATCACCACAGCCCAACAGCCCACCACAGCCAAACCGAACACCCGAACGGCTGCAGGCCACACTTTTCTGGCTGATCTACATTATCGTCCACCCCACGCGGTGCCATTGTCTCTCAAATCTGGTAAGCCTGGGCAGCCATTCTTCATTCTCCTCTAGCTCCTTTGCTTCTCTTCCCCCCCTGCTCATTTCCTCGAGGCCAAAACGCGCGGTGCCAAGGGTACGAGGCCGCATGGTTTCCTGCGCGGCGCCAAGCAACCAACAGCCTCTGCGAGATGCAACGCTACTCGCATCCTACTACAGTGCATTCGCCCTCGTCACCCACCACCTGATGTATCGCGCTCCCAATCTGCACATCCCGAATCTCTACTCGCCCTTTTCCCCTCTCTCCCTCACAGGCAATGTGCGTGCTCTTTGCTTTTTATTATGCACGCATATGTAGGCCTGTCCTGGCTTTCCAACCTGACTCGGGCCTTACCAAGAATGTCTAGTAATCGCTACAATCTACAATCCTCACATACCACCCACCTCACCCACCTCGTTCAGGCGATGTGATTCCTATGCATGCCTCTATGTATGCGTTGTCCATTCTTTCGCCTCCCTACTTGCTGCCTCGTCCCATCGTCGCTAGCGAAACCACTGGAGAACCTCGAGGGGCATGTTGGTCGGCCATCACGATGCTCTGTTGGTGAAATCGACAGGACAGTGCACGTTGGCCATGGCTTTTCTGGAATGCAGACGCCACCAAACTATTGCATGCTGTAATGACAGGCTCTTGTCCGCCGGCAGCCTCAGCTGCAGCCCTCGTTGACCTCATCGTATCGCTAGTCCGATCCGAGGCGCTGCCACCGGCAATCCTACTCGAGGCATCCGCCCCTATCACGGCCAGCTGCGAGGAGGTCTAGATGACACCCCGCTCGTCCATCTGGCTGACGGCCCGAGCTGAAAATCGCCAACAGAGTCCTCGGGTCACACAGCAGGCGGTCTAATGGTGACGATGCGGTGCTGGCACCGCACCTCCAAGTCGCCCAAATTCCTGCTAAGCCAAACACGGAGGCATATGTACACCAAAAGCCCAGCTCTCCTGCAAATAGTCTGGCGCCAGCGCGAACCCAACACCTTGGATCCTCCGCGCTCATGTTGGTCTGAACCAGGCGCTAGCAGAGGCACCCCCGGCACATGCCCTTGACTGCTCGCCATTGGTTGGTCAACACACACACATTCACGCACACACACTCCACGCGGACGCTAGTCGGCCATCACAATGCGGGGATCCAGCCGTCTGCCTACACTGAAGCGATTCCCGTCTGATGGTCGTGGGCTCCCGGGCGCGCACCCGCTGGTATGATATGCTAGCAAGGGGCTCTCAGAGGGATTGCGAGTGCGAGCGCCTGTGTACGTGGCCCAGTTTCGCGAAGCTGTCCCCCGTTTGCATCTTCATGTCGGTGGATATCATGTTGAGGCGGTCAGCCTAGCGCTCAACAAGATGGTGGGTGATGCTGACTTGCTGCAACCACGACCCATTTTGTTCCTCTTTCGTTCCGTTAAAGCCCATCATCCAGCGCCCATCCCATGAGGGATGTCCATGCTCCCCCGCCATTGGCTTGAGCCGCACAGGCGATAAAGCCCACCGCTTCCGGGTCAGCAAAAAGACGATGCATCTATCGCAACCTTGCTTTGACGAGCTGCATTCCACTCACGGCGGCACTGCATGCTTGCTGCCTTGGGTTCCATGACGGGTCCACGGCGCAATAGTGGAAAAGAAAAGGGTCTGGTCGCTTACGGAGCCCTTGGCAGAGGACGGTGCCGCCGCTCTACCTCGCCGTCAGCGCCCCCCTCGGGTAGGCTCTCTTTTTTCCTCCTTGCAAGCGCGCTCTCAGCATGTACCGCACGAGTAGCCCGTCCCGGCCGAATGGTACCGCCCACCCCTTCCATGGATGTTCGAAACAGAAGGGGGGCCATCCTCCCTTGTGTCACCCGCCCGGATTGACGGCGGGGGTCCGTCCCACTCTTTCGGGATTCTTGGTCAGGGTGTGCCAGCGATTGGGGGCCTCATGTCCTTTGTCTTGTCCTTGCTCTGGATTACATTCCTTCTCGCTTATTGTGCCACTCCGATTCCTTTTGGCCAAGGATCTTGGGGGAAAAGGAAGCGTTAAAAGAAATATGGACAGAGGAGGGAAGGAAACCCAAGACGGAAAGAAACCAACACGACATGGGGTTGCCGGTGTGGAGCCGCAACTCCATCTTGCCCTCCGTCCATCGGACGCGTTAGTAAGATGAGAACCGGTTTGGTGGGATTTAAATTTGCTTTTCTTTTCTTTCTTTTGTCCGATCCACCGAGAGCGACTGTCCTTGGCCTCCAGTTGTCCCTCGCTATCACCGTGCCACTCAGCTACCCCCCTTACCTTCCATTGTAATCATTCGTATTCGGGATATTATCCCCTTTCCCTTCTTTCTTCCTCAGCCTCGGAGATGGATGGTTCCCTCAGAGTGGTCGGTGGGTGGATGCGTCCCATCTTAGCTCCTACCGAAGCCGGAATAAGTAGGGCTGTATAAGACCGGGCGCGATATAGCTCACTTTCGCCCGGACTGCCCGAAGCGGATGCGGCCAACAGCCAAAGATGCAGAGTCATCAAGCACGTAGCAGATAGCTGGACACCGCCGCACCCGAGTAGGTAGCGTCTGCGTATGCTGTACATGTGTACATGGACACTTGCGTATGCACGGCAATACGGCCGGCTTTTCGTGTCACATACACAGGGACCGCAGAAGCAGGGTTTGTGGGACTGTCGGGTGTGTGTTGGCAAACCGTCACGCTAACTTGGCCAGCCATTAGCTGCAATAGGGGGAAAGGGGGAGAGGAGGGGCTACATATTCCAGAGGAGGAAAACTCCCGCGGGTTTGCTGTCGCCCCCTAGGCCCCGGCCCTCAGGGCTGGCTACAGTACCCATCCATCGTACATGACAAAGCCAGCCTTGCTCCCGACCAAACCACGACGTGCTCCGCTCCGTGCCAGGAGGCAGGGCAGGGCAGGGCAGGGCAGGCAGGACAGGGCGGGCAGGCGTGCGTGCGTGCGTGTGTGTGTGTGTGTGTGTGTGTGTGTGTGTGTGTGTGTGTGTGTTCGTTATGGTTGCTGACAAAGGCATTGAAAGAAATGCGGTTTCTCCAGGCGTTGCTGCTGTAAGACACTCTTTCTGCGAGAAAGGAAAATAACCAGGCCACCGTCTCCTGTTTGTTTGTTTTTTTCTCTCTCTTGTTCTTTGGTATATGATACACAATTGCTGTTGCCGACGTGTTAAAAAAAAATGGAGAAGATGAAGTAGAAGAAGGGGAAAATCATGTGGAAAATAAAACTGGAGGGGATCTAGAGCACGCGGGAAATGACAATGCGGCGGCCCTTGTTTTTCTGCCAGACTCGTCAAGCTAGGTTGTGTTCCGCCGCCATCTCTTTGTGGTAGACTGGATAACTATGAAAAGACGAACGGCCAAAATCCCACCCATGGTCTGAAGAGGAAAGGATGTCGTCGTTAGCAGCCGCTGCTGTCTAGGCGCCTACCTAGACGACACTTTGGCATATATTCCCGGCACATGGAGACGGAGGGGAAGCCATGAAACGATGAGGATCAGCCTCCAAAGCTGAAGTTGCCAACCAAAAACGGCCTGGGTTCCTTCCTGGCTGACCACCAGCTCCCTGCAGCATCGATATTCTGTTCCGGTCCTGTCCATCGCTGGCAGCCCTGCTTTACCACTCGTACTCGCCAGTCGCCTTGTGGAAGACGTACTCCTTGCCGTTGACGGTGAGGATGCCGTCCTTGAGGGTGCACTTCCTGTATATCACACCATCGTCAGACCTTTCCAAAGAAGAGTGCGCGCATGCTTAGTTCGGGCCTATGGGTACTGACCACTTGTTCTTGACGCGCTGGACCTTGTCATAGAGACACAGCATCTGCTGGCCCTCATCACCGTCCTCGTCACTGTCGTCAAGGTCGTCTTCAGGATCGTCCAGGTCCGAGTTGATAGCGTCGTCCAGGTCCTCCTCTCGCATGTCATTGTCAGCACCGTCCACCTGAGGCAGGCCGCGCGGGCGCGCCGAAGACACCGAAGTTTCGGGCATTTTGCCTGCGCGCTTGCTGTGCTTGGTGGCCTCCTTGAGCGGGACCATCAGGCCGCCGCCTTCCATGCGCCGGGCAGCGGCGGTCATCTGCCTGTGCATCATGCGATCGATATCGACACGGCCGAGCTCACGGAGACTCCCGTCCTGCTCCCGTTGGCACATGACGCCCTCGAATCCATCGTCATCGGCGGCCGGGCCGTCGACCTGGGAAGGTCCGAGGGAGCCGTTGGGCTGCTGCGCACGCTGCGCCTGCTGCGCCTGTTGCTGTGCCTGCATCTGCTGGCGATACTGCTCCGCGTTCTGGGGAGCCTGACCGGCCGGAAGCGGGAGATGGGGTCGCTGGCCTTGGGCCGGAGGCCCAGTCTTGAGCGCGTTGATAGACGCGGCTGCGCGCTGTCCATACTGATTGGCGAGCTGCTGTACCGCACGCTGCTGAGCCAGCGATGTAGGGCCGGCACCTGGGGCGCCGTGCGCCGGGCCCGGATAGTGCTGGATCATGGGGTTCGGCTGGCTACCGTGCTCCTGTTTGACGACAGCGTCGCCACCAGGGCCAAGCTCATTGTTGGTGTACATGCCGTTAGACGGGGGCGCCTGAGGAGCGGGCATGGGCATGGGCATTGGCATGGGAAGAGCAGCCTGAGCACCAGTCGGCGGGCTCAGAGTGGCTTGCGTGTAGCTGGCCACGGGCGGCGGATCAGCCGGAGGGGCGGCCGGCTGAGGAGCGGGCGGAGGGTCGGGCTTGGGATCCCATGGGAAGCTGGCGACCTGCATGGCCGAGAGTCTCTGCTGCCATACCTGCGGTGGGGGGCTTGGGGTCAGCACGTACTCTTGACATAAAACACGAGACACACATGAATATCACCCAGCCAGCCTGGGGAGTGATAGCGATGACCCAAAGGGGTGCAAGGTGACTAAGATGCAGAGCACGTGACCAAGGAGAAAACGCTCCAATGAGAACGCTCGGCCGGGGTGGGTGTGCAGCAGCTGAGGGGCAAGGAGGGAGGTTAAAAAGGCCCCAAATAGTCCATGACCGCCCCCCGAAACCAGCCCACTCTCCACCCCTCCTCTCTGCTCCCTCTCTCGGGCTGCCACCCAGGCAGCAGAGCGCAGCGAGAGACACCCAACACATGTCGGAGCAGATGACAGGCACAGCGACGGTCGCCAGCTTTGGCGATCGTGGCCGCTGCGCGGTTTTTTTTCTTTCTTTTCTTTTTCACCCCACTTCGTTGACAGGCGGCCTTTTGTGATTGTTTGATGATGGAGAAAACACGCGAATGACGGAGTAGCAAGGAGGGAATGGAAAGTCGGTTGATGCCGAAAAATCCCGACGTACCTGCTTGAGCTCCTGCATGACGGCCAGATCGATACCGCTCTCCTCGAAGTCGACCGTAGATGATTCGAGGACATTCTCGATGATCTTCTCATACACGGCGCCGACGTTGTTGTTGGACATGCTGGGCAACGAAGCTGCGGCGGTCTGTTCTTGTGTTTGTCGGCGGCACGAGCGTGGTCGATCTTCTCAGCCCTCCTCCTGGCTGGCCCTTTTTCCGAGCAAGCGAGCGTTTGTCTTGTTTTTGTTCCTCTCCTCTCACTTGTCTGGTGATTGTTTTGTTCTGTTTCTCAAATGTCTATCGAAAAATCTCCGACTTCTCCCCCGAACTTGCTACCGTGAGCGGAGAGCCTTATTCCCTCTTCTGGGAGATGGGCGGAGATTTGTCAAATGCGGACGCGCTGGCGATCGAACAGCGACGGGTTTGCCGGGCGCCTTGCAAGAGTCCAATGCCCCACGCGTCTCCCGTGAGCGAAGGGTGGGCGGTGAAAGGGAGAGACGAGACGGCTCAAGGCGGACGGGTCCTGGCTGTTGCAGGGCCTGCGTGTCGTAGCTGCCCGTCCTCTTTTCTGGGTCTTGTAGTCTGTTCCTCTGCGCGGCGGCCAATTTCGCTCGTTGCGGCGCCGGGTGCTGCTGCTTGTTTTGGTGTTGTAGCCGACCAAGTTTCTTTTATTTGAGGGAGAGGGCGCTGAAGTAGCCAGACCATGCTTATGTCAGCCCCCCAAACTGTATGCCCACCTTCTGTGGCCACCGGATTTGGCGAGTCACCTCACCCACCGCCATGCGGGAACTCTAACCAGCCTCAGGCGCCTGTCGCCGGAGACGTGTGCAAGTTGGGTACGGTTGACGCGAGAAGGCCAACGTCCACCTAGGAAGAAGCATAAAAATGACATTCACAGAGGCCGCGAACGCGAAGTAGACTCCATCTGCAATTTGCCACCCCAATTGAAGATGCCTCTAGACAACAGTTGAACGATTCTTGGATAGTTCGGTTGATGCTGAAGCGTTGGGCGATTGTCTTTGTTCGCATTCCAGTGAATCACGAGAATTTAAATATCAATAATGATCAAGAGAGCACGGATATATACATCCATATGCTTATTTCCTCGTCCTATCCCAGAATTACCAAAGAGTTACATGCAAAACCTGCCAACCCAAACTCCGTGCCTGACCCATGCTCAATGGCCAACCTGCTGAGCAAACATGCTGTGAAAACAAGAAAAACAAAGATGGAATCAAAACTCCTGAACGTGCCCAGCTCTTTCTTTCGTCCCTGCGTGAACAATCTGCCCATTTCATGCCACAACAAATTCCTCGTTGTCGTCGTTTGTGAGAGGGATTAACAAAAGGGGGTATCCTTTGGAAGACTCAACCAACGCCGCGCTTGAAACGGACCAAAGACGATGATGGGATCGATATTGATACCCAGACCTGGACGCCGAGCCCCTGCCCATATAAAACCGAGATTGCCAGGAACAATAACCGTGACATATTTATACTTACCGTCTGGTTGCTAATTCCTCAAGTTGTACTTGACAAAATGGGTGGGTGCTATCGAGTGTTGGGTGTTTCGTCTTTTATTAACGGATGGTCATCTGCTTGACCATGTCGGCCTTGCTCGAGGCGCCGAGGCCGGTCGCAGCGCTGCCAGCGGGCTTCTTCTCGAAGATCTTCCAGAACTTGAGGCTCTCGTCGGCGGCAGCCGTGGCGAGCATCTGGCCGTCGGGGCTGAGGCAGCTGTGCAGGACGCGGCTTTCGTGGGCAGGGATCTCAACGGTGCGGACAAGGGTCGGGTAGCTCCAGATGCTGAGCGAGTTGTCGGGGAAGCCGCTCGAGCTGACGATCTCGCGGTAGTGCGGGCTCCAGCGGAGGCTGGTAACCTGCGAGCCGGTGTCGATGCTGTTGACGCGGGCACCCGAGGTCGAGTTCCAGAAGTGGATGTGACGGTCGTACGAGCCGCCGCCCGTGGCCAGGAGGTTCATGTTCCAGGGGCACCAAGCCAGGGCCTTGACGGCAGCCTTGTGGTTGGTCTTGGTGAACTTTGGCACCGACAGGGAGCGGGCGTCCCAGATGGAAACCAGGTTGTCGTTGCCGCCGGTGGCAAGCTGGGCACCGTCAGAGCGCCACTCAAGACCGCATACCTCGGAGGTGTGCGAGACGAGCTCGGCCACCTTGTGCTCGGCGATGCGGACATCGTGGTTGTAGACGAGGCCGCTACGGGCGCCCGTCGACAGCAGGTGCTTGTTCCAGCCCATGACCGAGACGCGGGTGTCGTGGCCGAACATGCTGCGCACCTTCTGGCTCTCAGCAACATCCCAGATCTGAACCTCGCCGGTACCCATGCCGACACCGACGTAGGCGCCATCAGCCGACCACTTGACACTGCTGACGTAGGTGTCGGGGCTCGTCTCCAGGAGGCAGCTGACCGAACCCTCATCCGCAGACCAAACATAGACGTTGCGCTCCAGGCCAATGGCGACCTGGTTGCCAGAGCTCCAGTCGAGCAGGTTCAGGTAGTAGTCGTCGATCAGGCCAGGGGCGTCCAGGACACGCTCAGGGGCGGTGGCAATGCGGCGCCTTGACTGGGCCTGGTTCGAGCTGGCTGCCCTGAGGGGCCTGTTGTACTGCTGGCGGAAGTCGATGGGCTTGGACGACTCAGGAGGCGCGGGCTTGAACTGCAGGATACGGGTGTTGAGGCTGACGCCACATGCGTTGGCGAGGGAGTCCTGGTAGGCGGCAGTGTTGGGGGAAGGCCTCGAGTAGGTCTCAGGCTCCTCATCGTCACCAATGTTCAGCGCCTCCAGGGCGGCGATGGCCTCATCGGCAGCCGAGGACAGAACACCTGAGCTCTCAACGGTGGAGCTGCTCTTGGGCCTCCGCTCTGCGCGGTCCAGCTTGCCAGACCCACCGTGGGAGATGGCGGAGCTGGCAGCGCGGTCAGGAATGAAGCGGTCACCGGCATAGTTGACCGTAGTCTTGGCAACCTTCTGCCTGATCGCCTTCTTGTGTTTGTTGCTGCCAGGGGTCTTGTTGTGCACACCGGTACCAGTCAGGGTGAAGTCCGAGACACCAAGCTCCAGGGCCCTGCGGGGAGTCGAAACGCCACGGGCAATGTTGGATTTGGGAGAGTCACGGTGTGAGGCGGCCTTGGTCAGGTGTGCGGTCAGGTTGCCGCCGTATGTTGACCGGGCGGGGGCCTTGAATGCATCATGACAGGAGTCCCGGCGCTCTGGGGTGTAGGGGGATGAGGCAATGTTCTGGTTTGAGTGACGCTGGCGGGGCGAGGGGGTGAGGGGCATGCGTCCGCCAGCGGTGCGGGAGGAGAAGAGCCCGGTGTGGGACTTCAACGGGGTAGAAACAGTGGCGGTGGCCATCTTCAGCGAGCTGCTCCAAGCAAGATATCTTGTAAGGATGAAGCAATCGATGCCTTATGCCTCGAGCTGGTCTTGATAGAAGTCACAGGTGGGAGGGAGCGGCTGTTATAAGTCGAGGCTTGTGTTGTGTGTAGGTCTCTTCGGTTTTTGGGTTGGTATGAGATTCAGTTGCTTTGTCGAAGCTAGCGGGAGAAGTCTGCCTGTGCAGAGAGAAGAGCAAGAGGAGAGTTTGTTGGTGAGATGGTGAGATGGTGAAAGAAGGAACGGTTCATCGAGCTTGACGGCACTCTTTTAACCCATTTGTTTACTCGAGTGGCTCGTGCGCGGGTTGACACGACAACGGAGACCAGCTCAGAATTTCCGGATTTGGGAGGCTGCAGGCAGGTTGAAAAGGCAACCACTGATGGAGTTGCGTCAGGTGAAGGTGGGACTCGCTGGAGCGAAGAGTGGACGCAAGGGCTACTGGCCAGTGCACCGGACGCAGCCGAAATGGATCCAAATTAGGTTAAGCGGCATGTCCACCTCCCCACCTTAGCGTTGCGAGACCGTCTAGCGCTCATGGTTGGACAGACAGCCAGAAAAAAAGCCTGGCGGTCGCCTGGGGGGCCTGCAGGGCGCTGCATCTCCTTCACCGAGTACTAGCAAGCTCTGTGCTGGCTTCGGGTCGCAAAGCCATTCCATCCAAGAAAGGAGGCCTTGGATTTATTATCGATTGACTGCACCAACGTCTGCCTTTTGGCTGCCCATTCCATCCCATCCAAGGCCCGCTGCTTCACAATTTGGTCTCCATTCTCGCTGCCACTGGTTGGTCTTGGTTTCGTCCTGGTTTCCGTCTTCGCCTGCGTCCCCCTGCTCCTGATTATTTCCCACCCAGCCTAGCCGCACCACCTCCTCCTATCAGGTCAGCCCCCAAACGACCCAAACGACCCAAACGACGCCACTCCTCCTCACCGGGCCGCCCTTATCCCCTGAAGAGGGCCACTTTCGAACAGCGCCCGGGGTTCTTCCCCATCACCTCACCGCGAGATGAAGGCCTAGTACACCGCAAACCTACTCAGCATGACGCAGCCCGCCACCCCTGCCGGATCCTCGGCATCGACCCCGGCAGCCCAGTCCCTCTTCGGAGGCGGTGCCGGCAGCAGCAACGCCGGAACCCCGCAGCCACCGCCCGCCGGCTTCGCATCCTCCACCCCATCGTCGTCGGCCTCGCTCGGTAATAACCAGTCCGCCGGCTCCGCGCCGTCGTCGGCCTCGTCCAATAACACCTTCGTCATGACGAACTCGCCTCTCAAGAACAGGGGCCTTCCTGACGGGTACCGGCCCAAGGTTACGCGCACCCTCGGAAACAGGCCCGCCTGCCTCGTCAACGCCTCGGTCACCTACTGCGGGAACAACCAGATCTATGCTTTCGGCGGATTCGATCAGTACACGGACGAGGTCTACAACCATGTCCTGCGCCTGGACCTTGCCAGCCTACAGTGGTCGCTGGTCGACAACTACGGCGACATACCCGGTGTGCGGATGGGACACACTGCCACCCTCTACAAAGGCGACCGGTTGCTTGTCTTTGGTGGCGAGAACGAGCACCGCACCTACCTCTCGGACCTGATAGTATTCGATCTGAAGACGGCGCACTGGACTCAACCTCAATGCACCGGCCCCATTCCCAAGGGCCGGGCGCGCCACGCCGCCATCCTCCACGAGGACAAGCTGTTCATCGTCGGAGGCATAACGGGCCACGATAACTATGTTCTTGATGATATATGCTTTCTTGACCTCAGGACGTTTACCTGGTCGAGGTCGTGGCGTTTTGTGTCGCGATTCGACCACAGCGCATACATTTGGTGAGTGGTTTCACATGCGTCATTTTTATCCCTTTTGGCCGCATCCAGGCACTTAGGCACTTGACCATCGCCCTCACCCCTGCTAATGGATTCTTGCCCCCGGGTAATGTAGGGGAGATCGAGTGTGGGTGTTTGGCGGACTCAGCGAGGAGATGAACAGAGTCAGCGACCTCTGGTGGCTTGACCTGAAGGGCAACCCAGCTTTCGAGACGCCCCCACAGGTTGGCACCTTCGACCGGTCATCCATGACCGGCCGCGTCAGTCACTCGTCGCGGCCATCTGCGTACTCCTCCATGGCGCAGTCCCCAGTCGTTGGGACGTCTGGATATGCGGCCAACTCGAGGACGGCGCAGGTCAACCCACCGTCCTTCCAGATCAAGTCCTACGCCCCCACAGCACCTGGTACCATCTCGTCGCTCAAGTTCCTGTCCGGGCCGAATGTGCCCGAGCAGGGCACTGGATACCACTTCCACGTCTACTCATCCGGCACGCTCCTCGACTTTGTGACGCCGGCGGCCACTATCGCGTCCAAGGACTGTTCACTGTCGGCCCTGGACTTGCACTCGCTTAGGTGGCAGAAGCTGGCAGAGGGCAGAGAGATCTTCAAGGCTGGCTACCGGTGGCACTATTGCACGCTCAACGAGGACGGCACAAAGGCGTGGCTGCTCGGTTGCCCGACGGACCAGGGCTCCCTCGACCTAGGAAACAACGGGCTCGAGGAGTACCTCAGTGACATCATGGAGATCGACCTGCGGCGGTATGGGTTTTTGGGTAACACTCTGACCCCTGAGCCACGGAGCACCGAGATGAGCCGGCCATCGTCCAGGATTCGCATAGTGGAGCAGCCCTCTAGGGGTCTGGGCGCGGACCTGGCCACGCTCTTCAACATGCCGCCCGAGGCTGGCAGTGGGACGGACTTTATGGTGACGGCGCTCTCGGCCGACTGCGACGACGACGACGTGTTGGGCTCTGCGCTCGTGCGGCCCGGCGACCGTTCCATGGCGGGGGGCGAGGACACTTGGCTGTCGCCCGACGCGTCGACGTCGCCGCCGATCCATGTACATCGGCTCATACTGCAGGCGCGCTGGCCACATTTCCGGAGGCTCTGGGCGTCCCAAATGGCCGAGTTCCACACGCGCAAGATGCACATCCCTGAGCCCTACAGCGTGGTCCGGGCTTTTCTGTACTACCTTTACACAGACAGGATCGACCCGAGTCCCGACGATGAAGGGGCGGGCGACGGAGGCGGGGCCACGACGGATCTGTCAGACATTGCGGGCCTGCTGGTCATGTCCAACATCTACGGGATCCCGCACCTGCGGCTCCTGTGTGTGAACCGGCTAGCCAAGGAGCTCGACGTGGACCACGCCTGCATTATCTGGTACCGGGCGGGGCTGGCGGATGAGGAGTGGCTGCGCAAGCGGGCGGCGACCTACTGCATGACGCACTGGGGTCGCATAGTGCGCACGTCGGGCTTCCTTCGCCTCCCGCGCAGCGCACTGGTTGAGCTGTCGCAAGAGATCGACATGGAGGGCCGCGTCATCGGCGGCGAGGAGCTCGACATGTTTGTCGGCTCGGCCGCACTCGCCGCCGAGGGGCCCGGTGCCCTCACGCGGCGCAAGGAGAGCATGAGCAGCCAGCCATCCCAGATGCTCGAGTCCGAGGCCGATGACGACGATGGCATGGAGCTGAACTAGGGCGTCATGTGGGACTTGTATTCTTTTGTTGCTATGTGGGTCTGTTTTTCTGGATGGGGGATGCGCTGCTTTTTGTTGACTTTTGGCGGATCATCCTCTTCTACTTCTTTTTTTTTCTAGCATCGTTTTCTAGGTGTGCTGTAGCGATAGACTTGGTATCGGGACTCTGTTTGGACTCGACGTCCCGCGGTTGGTTTTTTCTTTTTGCCCTGCTCGACCACCATAGTCGCGAGGTGATTGTCCATGGATTTAGTTGCGTACTACTCTGGGTATTTTTTTTTTGTTATTGTTGGTCACGCGAGGAGATATGGCTATGCTACACGATGGAAACAAAAAGCGACCTGGGAACGATAATTTGACCGCTTAGACCTTTTAACATGCTGAATGTCATGTCCTGAATTTTCAATATGATGTAAAGTGTATCCTTGTAGTGAGAGCCTGTTCGGGTTCAATCGTAGAAGTCAGCCAGGGGCGGGCATGGTAGAACATAAGTTAAGCATCACATGATGGGACAAAATACGCATATTATAACATTAAATAAAAGCCTTTCTTGACACATCAGACAGCAATACCTCCGCCATCTGGCCAACGCCATACGCCATTCTTTTTTCTTTCTCTCTTTTCTTTTTTTGTCTCTCTTTTCTTTTTTTTGTCTCTTTCCTTTTATCTCTTTTATCCGCGGGACTCATACATCAGAGAGGGCATCAGTTCCTCGGGAGAAATGGGGGACGGACCATCCCCAAGGCGCGCGCGTGCTACTACTTGCACCGCTTCTCGACGATGCCGGGCCCGTTCTCCTCGTACTCCTTGCGGGAGATCCACATCTGGTGGAAGGTGCCGAGACTGGCGAGGATGCTGCCGCCGATCCAGGCGCCGAAGCGGCGCTCGCTCGTTAGGCCCGCGGCGTGCAGCTTAACGCGTGCCGAAGGGTACATGGCCATCAGCTCGGCGTTGAGCCGGTCGTTGAAGCCGTTGAAGAGGGTAGAGCTGCCCGTCACCACCACGGCGCCCAGGAACGCGCCCCGCAAGTCCGGGTCGACGCCGTTGAGCGAGGCGCGGATCAGGTCTGGGATGGTCATGGGCTTGGTGCCCGCCGCCGGCGCCGGTTTCGAATCCTCACTTCCTCCTGCCGGCGTCGGCGCCGGTGCGGCGGCTGCCGGTGCCGAGGCCTGGGTCCCGTAGGCGGCCGCCTCATCCCACATGCCCTCGGTGACCTTGTAGCGCTGCTCGCGCCACATCTGGTTGGACCCGTCGGGCATCTCGAACACGCGGCCGGGCTGGGAGCGCACATAGTCCTCGACCGTCGGGGCCGCCAGCTTCTGGGGGCCGCGCCAGACCTCGACGACCGACTCCTTGAACTCGGTCATCAGGCGCTCGTCCTCGTAGGCGCGGAACGAGGGAGAGACGTCGAAGGGGAACGTCCGCAGCCTCGCATTGGCCTCGGCGCCGGCGTCGACGGGCGTCTTGTTCTCCACCAGGAAGTGCGGCGCCGGCTTGACGGGCGGGTCCTGCGCGTCCCACATGGACCGGATCTGGCCCGAGACCCACAGGCCCGAGCCGATGGGGGAGTGCTGGATGGAGCGCTTGAGGACCATGCCGTCGTGCACCGCCACCACGCTGGCGTTGGCGCCACCTACGTCTACGATCAGGGCCGTGGCCTTTCCGGCGGCGAAGGCGGCCAGCGCGGGCGTCTTGGTCAGCCAAAAGGCGGGCACGCCCCAGCCCTCCATGGCGATCTCGATGGCCTTCTCGCGCGCCTTGGTCGGGTTCCAAGGTGCCTCCGTCATCAGCAGCGGGTTCTCGCCCAGGGCTGTCTCCAACATGTCCTCACTAGACTCCGCCTCCGCTTCGGCGGCGGCGGCGGCGGCGGCGGCGGCGCCTGCTGCCGCGTCGTCCATGGCGACGTCGCCCTCGCCGTCTGCGGGCTTCTCGCCGTTGCCGTTGGCGGCGGGGGCGTCGACGGGCTTGGGCTTGGCGATGGCGGGTGTGCGGCCGAGCAGGTGCGCGCGGTCGGGCTGCAGGCGCTTGACCAGCATGTGCTCCCACAGGCGCGGGGCCACGTCCCAGTTCTCGACCACGCTGTCGCGGCCCATGTAGTTGCGGACCTCGAACCCTTCGCGGGCTATCATGACCTCGTCGCCGAAGATGTCGCGGCCGCCGACGTGGCCGTAGAAGGAGGGCAGGACCGACTTGGGCACGTCCTCGCCCGCAAAGCCGGCGCGTGTGCTGCAGTAGCCCGGGTCGAGGACGAGGGCGGAGACCTCATCTGTCGTCATTGCCGCCGTGGCCCAATGGTTAGCGCTCGAACGGGGCGTAGCTTGCGAATGGCGCGCGCGCAATGGGGTCGAGGCCAGCCGGGCCGCTCGCACAAACCTCCTCCGTAGATGTCTGTCGGCTGGACGGCCGACGACAATGGCTGTTGTGCCATGATTGTGTTGTTGGTGTCTTGGAGATGATGCTATGTGTGGTCTGGGGTGTGAGCTAAATCGTTGCTTGGTTATGGTGGCGGTGGTACTGTTTGCTTTGCACTGCTTTGGCTGTCCAAGCTCCCTCCCATTCCAGGCCCCCAGAAGATCAAGTGGAGTGGAGTGGGCGGCGCTTCCTCAATTTGGGATTTTCGAAGTCGCGTCAAATATGTGGCTTGACGCGCACTGTGGCGGGAGCTCTTGCCAGCTCCTTGCGCATGTGTGGCTTGCGCACCGCCCAGGACAAATATCAGATTGGGTATAGGTGTAGGTGGTAGATGTCCACGCTGCAAAAAGAGCGCTTGCGGCTCGCAGTCAAGCAAAACGACCGACCGTGTTGCTACTATTGTGCATACCCCAGCGCGTCATCGCCGTGGTCGTCGTACCCGTACCCGTACAAAATCTCACAAACTCCGGCCAACGGCACGTCCATGACGGCGTCGGTGCCAATGTTCCAGATGTTCCTCCAGTCCAGCTCGCCAGGCCCCGGCAGGCCAATTGTGCTTTTCCTCCTCCTGCCAGGCCCTGGCGCCGCCGCCGTAGCTGCGCCGTCCGCCTTGTCCTGTTGCTTCCTGCTGCTCCTCGCCGCTGCCGTCGTCGCCGCCGCTCCCGCTCCCGCTCCCGAGACCCCTCCTCCGCCCGCAGCCGCCGCCGCCGCCGCTGCAACCCGGTCCCTGTTCAGCCCCTTGATCCTGCCGCGCGCGTCGACGACGGCGACCTTGCCGGCCGAGTCGACGACCGTCTCGAGCGAGCGCAGCGGCAGCGTCAGCACCTCGAGGTTGTAGCTCGCCAGCGCCACGTAGACGTAGACCAGCGACATGACGATGGAGCTGGGCACGGCCAGGCTCCACCAGCGGTTGGGGTAGTAGTAGATGCCCAGCGCGTGCAGGAACGGGCTGGGCAGGTAGCTCCACAGCAGGTACATGAGGAAGGCGAGCGACGAGAGCAGGTACAGCACGAAGCCGTAGTACTCGTACGTCGGCACCTGGGGGGTCGCCCGCGGCACCGGGTTCTCGGGCTGCTCGTCGTCGGACGCGTCCGGGGTGGTCGGCCGCGACGGCCGCAGCAGAGACGTCAGCGACGGCGACGGGGGCAGCGGCGTCGGCGGGCGGCCGTAGAAGGGCGGCGCGAAGTTGTGCTGGAAGGGCGGCGGGGGCCGTGGCGCCTCGTCGTCGTCGTCATCGCCGTCGTTGTCGGCGTCGTCGTCTCCGGAGCCGTTGCCGCCGTCGCTGGTCTCGGTGGACGAGTAGGCAAAGTTCACCTCATCGTCGTCCGACTGGCCGCCGAGCTGGGTGGGGTACTGGTCCTCGTCTTCTTCTGAGCTCGTTGTCATGTCGAAGGCTGCTGCATGTGCGCTGGGTGTGAATCAAGCGCGGTCCTGGGGTATCTTGTCACAAATCCAACCTCGAGAATCCGTTGTGGTGCTCCACGGCGGGAGCGGTTCATCTGGTGGGTCCAAATCGGCGATTAAAGGCACTAGCCGATAAGCTTCGTGCCCCTGAGGCGACCCCTGAAGCTGCCATGGAATTCGACTGATGCACCATGTTGCAGTCTATAAAACACTCAAGGCTAAATATGAATATTAGAAGCGCCGATATCTGTCTATGCAATTGCCAACGCTGGCGTTATTTTGTGTGCATTTAGCGGTAATGTTTTGTCATGGGAATATGCTCCCCCCCCCCTCACAACCCCTTTCCTTCCTTAGCCGTCAATGGGACATCTGTATCGCTTGAATACGCCCCGACTGCCTGGGAACTCCTCGTCCTCGGTTTCTCTGCTGCCGCCGGCGTCGTCATGCAGCGCGTCGAGACAGGACTGGTGGTAGATGTGCCGGCAGGCCAACACCACGAGCGGCCCCAACGGCTGGTCCTTCTCTCGCCTGCCGCCCCTGCTGGGGCCGAACACCGCCGCGGGCTTGGTGCCGACCGTGGGGCTGGGCGTGGCAAAGCCCCTCGCCGCGGCGGAATCGTCACCAGCTTCCCCCTGACCCGCCGCCGCAGCCCCAGCGTCGCCCTCGGGCTCATCACGGACCTGGAACTCTCCGCGCGGCCGTGCCGGCTCCGCCGCCTTGCCTTTGCCCTTGCCACCGCCTGCCGCGCTCACATCTGCAGCGTGGTCCGTGTTAAAGTATGCATAACTGCTGCTGGTGCTGGCGCCGGTCCCGCCCCCGTCCAAGTCTCCCACGCTTATGCCGACTCCGCTGCCGTCGCCGTTAGAACCCGCCGCTCCAGCGGCCATGGCGAGCGCCTTCCTCTTCAGATCTCGCCTGATCGCCTCCCTCTCCTCGCGCTCCTCCCAGGCTTCGAGCACGCTGGAGCCCGCTACTCCGGGCCCCGTGACCCGTCGCCCACACGCCTCGCAAGTCGAGCCGCGGGGTCTCCAGCCGCGCTGCCGGAGCGCCACGGCGTGCGAGACGCTTGAGAACAGGCTGCGCTCCAGTAGCCGGCCCGACAGCCGCAGTATGGACTCTTCATACGCGTATGCCGAGAAGATGGAGGCCAACACGCCACGCAACTCCGCCAGACTCGGCGAGCTCGCCGCAGCCTGCGTCAGGAACGCACGGAGGATGCGCAGAAACGAGAGGTTGTTCCCGGGCGCGGTCGAGGATCTTCTGATATTGTTGCCCGCCGTCGCCGCTGCGCCAGGGGCCCCGGGCTTCGAAGCATTGGCGCCGCCAACACCTGCTGTGGGTGTAGACGTCGCAGTAAGCAGCGCTGTGAACGTGTGCTGTACAAGTGAGCGGAGGAACCCGACGAGTTTATCCGTGTCCAGTGTCTGACGCCCAGCCCCGTCCTCCTGCCCACCTCCCCCGCCGCCTTGTACCAAGGGAGCAGTGTCGGGCACAAGAGAGGAGATCGATTGCGTCATGTGCACCGAGGCGTTTACTAGACTTAGCCACATGGACTCCTCCGGTGAGAGTTCATCGGTCGCCGCCTTTTGCTTGCCCCGTGCCGCCATCTTTGTCTGCCCCTGACAAAGCCAGATGCCAACGTAGACGTACTTCCTAGCAGCGTCCATGAGCCCCTCTGCAGACTCGTGCAGGTCGCTCACAGACGCATAATCGCCGTTGAGAGTTCTGGCCTGATCTATCGGCGAAGATGCAGCTCCGGAGAGCAGGCCCCTAAAAGCCGACTCCAGTGTTTGCAGGTGTTTGATCAGGCGCTCCATGGCCTGGGGGATCTGCCCCTCGCGAGCCATCAACACGATGGCCGCGTCGATGACCCCCATCTCCTCCATCGTGGGCAGCAACGTCTCCAGCCGGAGATTGGTCGACTGCACCAGCCCCACGTAGTCGGACACGTGAGCAGGCTCGAACTGGCACATCAGCCGAATATACTGCTCGATCAGGTCCCTGTCCGCCGCCGCGCCACTGCCTCCTTGCCTGAGCATTTCCTCGGCAGGCAGCGCCTCTTCTTGACCATCTCCACGGTCGGACCGCTGCCTCCCGGGCTCCAGTATCGTTCTTAGGTAGGCGTGTTGCAGCCCTGGTTCGTCTTCCACAGATGCCAGGAGGTGGCGGTGCAGCTCCGGCGCGCCCGCCTCCACCGCCGATGCTGCGCGTCCCGGATCCAGCTCTACCAGGTCTCGTGCGTACTCCTTCACCACTTCGTGCACATCTTGGAGCTGTCGTTTTGTTAGGCGCCCTGTAGCGCCAGTCTGAGAGCGCAGGCAGTCAGAGATGCACTCAAAGACCTCATCCCTATCCGATGGGTCTTCAAAGTACGTTCTGATCAGCCGCCCGTACTGCTGGTCCGTCCTGTAGATGCGTTTGAGCACACGGTAGAAGCCCGCTTTCTTGAGAAGCGGGATGAGTGATGAAATGTCAGGTGGGTGGTACACCGAGAGTAGATACTCGGCACTAAGCTGCGCGTCGTCGGCCAAGTCCTCTCCGGGGTAGTTGCAGAGCCCTGTCAGGACGTTGGTGAGCGTCGAGCCGGGAAGCAGGAGATACTGTGGGTATTTCGGCAGGTTACGGGAGATGAACATGTCGAGGTATATCGTGTCTTCGAGAGAAAAGTCGGCGGGGTTCATGATTTCGGTGAGAATCGAGACGATGTATTGCCGGTCAACTGTGGAGCCGAACACCTGCTCTTCGGACAGCTCCTTGCCGGCGCTTCCGTTCAGTGTCTTGTCGGGCGAGTCGTTCAGGAATGAGTCCTCGAAGGCCTCGTTCAGGCAGCTGAGAAAGTCCGGTGCGTTGTACTTGAGGATCATGCGCAGGTAGGGGAAGGGTGGTTCCTGTGGTAGATCTGGTCTCGTTGTGAGACGGTGCGTGCTTCCTTTCGGCCAGGTAATGCTCTTGCCAGAGAAGAGAAACCAGTATATCTCTGCCTTGGCCTGCTGGACGACCGGGTTTGGCATCGGATCCTCGGTGGGATAGACACGCCCCGTGAGGGCGTATGAAAGGTAGGGAAACATCTTGAGCACGTTCACCGCATAGATCTCTTCCATGGGCTCGCCCGACGGCGCGTACTCTCCCTTCTTCATCAGCGGGAGCAGCAGCGCCAAGAGATCCGTGAGTGGAGTTATAAAGTCAAACATGGCCTGGTTCCAGACGTATATCAGGGCATCGTATAGGTTATGCTGCTTGCACAGCAGAGTGACCTGGTCAAGGTCTAGGGTGGCCGTGTCCATGTGGCAAAGGACCTCTTCGAGCCGGCTCTCAAGCCCCTGGCTCACAAAATGCGTCACCATGGCCTTGACAACCGTAGGCGGTACGGAGCGGATGGACTTGTCCAGAATACAGGGCTCCAACGTTTCGAGAAAGATGCCCTCGGTCTCGGCGTCTTGGTACCACTCGTACATGTCTTCGAACAGAAAATCGGTGTCCCCAACGCTCTGGCAGGCAATGAAGCACGTCTTGGCGAGCTCGCGAAGGTGGTGGTTGCTGGCCCCAGCCGCCTTCTTCTTGCGTTGGCCAAAGGCGTACTTTAGAGACGCAGAAATGATCTCCATCAGCTTCTCCCGCACCATGTCGTGCCGTAGTTTTGCGTCGTCGGGCAGGCCAATGGTGAGCTTGTCCGAGTCGCCAGTGTAGTATGATGTGGCAAGCTGGATGGCAGCAATGTAGTCCCCATGCTCCATCAGCGCAATGAGCCGGTCCGCCCAGTTGGACAGGGCGCCAATGGACACGTCGTTGAACCCCATGAGGAAGATGCGCCCCTTGTACGCCTTGAAGCTCATGGAGAAGCAGTCGGCGACGACGCCATGCATGGTCGTGTCATCCTCGTCGTGCTGCTCAACCAGCGAGTAGAGCTGCTTCGAGAACAAGTCTGCGTGGTAGATGTGCTTATTAAGCAGGTCGAACCCGTCCGTCATGCGCATGGTCTGGTCCTCGAGCACAATGAGGCGTTGCGTGATGGTCAAGACGGTGAGAACGGACCGGCTGAGCCACTGGACAGCAACGATGGCCTCTTCGCACTTCCATCTGCTCCGTGCCCTGAAGCTGAGGCTGGGCGGCTTGTCCTTGGTCTCGGACGGGATTTCGTCCACGTCCAAGACGGTCAGGACGTTGGACCAGCAGTACACTAGCTTCACCTTGGACGTCTGGCTGCCCGTCTTGGGGTCGGGCACCTTGAGCTTGACGGCGGGGAACCAAGCGAGGCATCCGCTCATGGCGCTGTGTGGCGTCACCTCCTTGGGCCTGGGAGATTTGTGCTGGGTCTGCGCGACGGGGGTCGTAGAGACGATGACCAGGAGGTAAGGAGTCAGCATGGCCGTCAAGCCCATCGAGTCGGTGGCGCGGTCGATGTTGGCCAGCGGGAGGGGTGCAAAGGCCAGGACTGTGCTGGGCTTGAGCGGCTTCCCAGGGGGCGGCTTCGACCCCGGGTATCGACCCAAGATGCGGGAGGTCCTGACTGTGCGGCCCAGGGGTCCAGTGCCCCTAGTTGCCAGATGCGCAAAGGCCATGCCCCTGTCGTCGGAGGACACGAGTGCCGTGTGCCTCGTGCCCAAGAAGCCGAGGTGTGTGATGGAGACGTTGGGCACGTGCCCGTCGGCGGTGCGGTTCTGCAGCTGCGCGGGGGTCAGGGGCGGGATATGGAGAAAGGGCCGGGACGCCCGGGACGTGTCCCAGGTGAAGATGGTGCCGTCGGCGTGGCCGCCGCCGATGGTGGTGTGGTCTGCCGACACGGCGATGGAAGTAATGGCGCCCGACTCGACGGCTTTGGTGCCAGGTCCAATGATCATCTTGAGGTTCTGGTTGTAATCAAACATTAATATTATGCCCTTGGACGTGCCCAATACGATGGACGCCGACACGGCGAGGCAGGTCGGCGCGCCAAAGTTCCTCTTGCCGGCCTCGGAGAAGGCCTGGCCGGTCAGCTTCCTGAGTTTGGTCCAGCGCACGACCTCCCAGGGCGGCGACGAGGTCTCGGTCTCGGCTTGGTCCAGCACGAACTGGCTGTTCAGGGAGACATTGCGACTGTGGGGCGAGAGGAAGCCGGGCGAGGAAGGGCGCGGGGTGAGGCCGCTCGGTGAGGCGATCCGGGACTGGAACCGACGGTCGAAGGGCCTGAAGGAAGGGCTGGGGCTGCCAATCGCGGGCCTCGAGGCAGCGGAGCGGAGGACACTGCTGGTCGGCGACGACAAGACGGATCCCTATTGCCAACCCGAGCACGGCCCGACTGGTCAGCGAGGGCCAAGGAAACGTACCAGCCAGACGGATGATGCGTGGCGGGAGTCGCGGCCCCCAACATACCTGGACGGACGGGGAGGCACCAGGGACCGAGAGCAGGGAGTCGACAGGACTGGCGACTCTTCTGGGCAGGCCGTCGGCCGACCCATCGTCGGACGGAGCCTCGTGCTGGGCCTCGAGCAGCGCGTGATAGCGATGGGCAGCGGCGCCATTGCCCACGGGGGCAGGGGGCTGCTCGTATCTGGCCTGCTCCCTCTCCTCGGCGAGCAGCTCCGCCAGGTGGCCGCCCTCGCCAGCATCCTTCACCGTCTCCTCATCGCTGGAGCTGCCGTCGGCGGCAGGGCTCCGTTCGGGCTCGGACTGGTCGGCCATTGCAGAGCCGGTTCCATGTCGTGGCGGCCGTCTCAGCTAGCCGCGGGCAAAAACAGCAGGACCAGGGCTTATCGCTCCGCTGCGGGCGCGCGCATGGTCGGAGCTACTGGCAGTCTGGCAGCGTTGGGCTGGGGAGGGTAGCAATCTCGGCTGTTGGTGCGTAGACAGCGCTCGATGTGTGGTGTCTGTCTCTTGGGCGCGCACGGCTGGAGGGGGCTGACTAGTTGGTATAGCGCACGCAGAGCGAGGCCGAGGCGGGCAGGCAAGCAACCTCCAGCTAAGCCTGAGCTGCACGCGCTGGGGTGTGGTTTTTGCGGCCAATCCCAAGCCCCAACCATTACGCAGGCGACGCTGCAGGGGACCCACCCCTGTACCGCAGCTCCTCCACGCCATCACCCATCACCAACGCGAAGCTCCCGTCCATTGAGAGAAACCCATGACCTATAATATACAATCAGTTGGAAACGAGGACGAGACTGCGAGCAAGCCGCGCTGCTTCACCAACGTCTCCCGCCACCACAAAACCCCACACCACCACTCCATCAATCACACTACGGCGGAAATATCCTCTGCGGTCGCAACTACAGCACCGCCGACGCCATGTCGTCAATCGGGCCCCAGATGCCGCCCCACCTCTCGAAGCGGAAGCGCGACGACCACGACGCCACCGCTCCCCAGCCGCCCCCTCCCAAGACGTCCCGTCGCGCCGGCGCCGGCGCCACAAACGACGACGAGATCGCGCTGGACTGGGGCGACAACGACGACTCGGACGACTCGGACGACGACACCGGCCCCGCCGCGCCGCCGCCAAAAACGGCCGCTCCTCCTCCCGCGACAGCCGCGCGCCCAGATGCGCCGCCCCCCGGCCCGCGTCGCCCGTCGCCGGCACCAGCGCCCAGGGCTGCGGTAGGCCCCAGCATGCCGCCATCTCGGGCACCAGCCAATGGCGGCGATTGCGACGGGGGCACAGGGCCTACGGCGCCGCCAGCCCAGCGACCGCAACCCACCGCCGCGCCAAGGCCCGTCATGGGGCCGGCAGCGCCGCCGGCGGACCTGTCAGAGCGGCCGTCAGAGGACCCAGAATCCGACTCGGACGACAGCTACGGCCCCCGCCAAGGCCCGCCGGAGGGAGAAGAGCAGGACGGCTCAGACGACGACGATGACGACGACGACGACGACTACGGCCCAGCCCCGGCCGACAGCAGAGCCGCCCGGCGCAACGAGGAGCGACACCGCAGAAAGGACCCCGTCCACATGGCCGGCGTCGGGTACGCGCGGCGGAAGCACGACGGGGCCTTGGTGGAGCAGGAGGAGAGGCCCAAGGTCCAACGCGACGAGTGGATGGTGGTGCCGCCGCCCCCGACGGAGGCCAGGGACGCCGACCCGACCAAGATCAGGGCGCGCGGCTTCGCCACCGGCCGCGCCGCGGCCGCCGCCTCTGTCAACTCCAACCAGGGCCTGGGCAGCATGTGGGTCGAGACGGCGCAGCAGCGCGCCGAGCGCGTGCTATCACGCGCCACGGCCGACATTGTCGACGAGCGGACCGGCGGCGGCAGGCTCCTCAAGGGCGAGAGCGACGAGACCCGCGAGGCCGCCATCCGCCTGTACACGGAGCAGACGCGCGGCAGGAGCATGTACGAGGAGCACCAGGCCGCCCTCAAGGAGGGCAAGAGGCCAGGCGGCGGCGGCGACGCAAAGAAGGGCAAGGCCAAGGAGGAGGAGGACGACCCGAGCAAGCGCGCCTTCGACCGCGACAAGGACATGGCCGTCGGCGGGCGCATCACGGGCGCCCAGCGCCGGGACCTGATGAAGCAGGCGGCCGACTTTGGCGGCCGGTTCCAAGCGGGGAAATACTTGTGAGGTGCGTTGCTTGCTTCGCCCATCTCTACTGGGCCTCCTTTCTATCGGCAGGGCTAGATGTTTCCCTCGTCCTCTTTTTCTTTGCATACAAAATTTCCACATGTGTTACTGCAAACATTCACCCGACCTCCGGAGATAAGGGCCCCGCTACCGCCGACGGTATATCAGAATAATGAATCTAGTGGGATACCTACCTTGTCCGGCTGTCTATCGCTCCTCCCTCCCAGACTCCATCCCACTCCAACCGTCCTCCGACCTGCCAAAGATGAGAAACACAAAACGCACAGGCACATATACTCGCACAAGACGCAGGACCCGAAACGATGAGATAAAAATAGGAAATATGTAACACGAGACGCGATGATAATAATAGGAAATAGGTAATACAAGGTGAGGTGATAAGATAGAGAATAGATATACAAGAATATTTTTCGCTCCTCTTTTGGCATGCATCCGGCTAAATTGGGCACGTAACAAGATGGGGGAGTGTATGCGATTGTAACACCATGAAGAATAGCTAGGTCCCAGCTCGGAGGTTTGAAAGGCATACATGAGTAACCTTTATTCCACAGCGACATATCGACGAAAGTGGCAGGAAAGTCTGATGGTCAGTATATAGGCAGAGGTGTTGCGAACAACAGTACCCCCAAACCTAGCAGGTCCTCCAAGTATCTCCAATGCTAGATAAGCACTGATACGTGGATCCAAGGGGGGTAATGAGAGTTTCAGACAGAATACAGCGCACTTCTCCAGGGTCAATGTGAAGGTCGTGTCTTGTGTGATCCGGTGAGGATGACGGGGAGAGGAAGATAAATATCCGGCCACCAATAAGCAACAGACTCTCTAGGTTTCCCAGCGGCATTCTCTGGTATTAGACAACAGTCAAAAAGGTTCGCGGTGAGGGATTCAAGATTCAAAAGATAAAGATGCTCAGTAGTTATAATCCAATCATCCTCCCGGCCTGTTCTACCTGGCCTGCGTCGTAGGTCCTGCCTCGAGTTGCGAGGGCGTGACAGAAGCAGTAGTAGCATCTGATGCTTGCTGCTGCTGCCTCCGCCCAAAGGGCAGCCTCATGCTGCTCAAGAATCCGCCATTCTGCCCCTGAGGCTGTGAAGGGGCAGGGGTCTCTGTCAGAGACTGTTGGGCTGCCGCGGTCGGCGCAGCCGGACGGAACCGAGAAAGGATGCCTCCGGAGCGAGGCGTGCTGTCCGAGTTTGTGTTGGCTTGAGCTGCGCTCTGGCGCCTCTGGGGCTGGGCAGAGGTGCTGTTGCCGTTGGTGTTGCTGCGGCCTCGGCTTCGGAAGGACATCCAGGTGCTCTGCGACCTAGACTGCCTGTTGGATCTCCTCCCGTTTTCGGGCAGCACCACGGTGATGACGCCGGTGGCGGGGTTTTCGGCGCCAGTCTCGGGAGCTGCTGGGCGCGGCTTGGGTGTGTAGTAGTCGGCCTTGCAGAGGGGGCAGCAGGCGCGCCTGCTTGTCAACCAAGGATCGACGCAGACAGCGTGGAATGCGTGGCCGCAAGTCAGACCGCGCACGTCCTCGTCGTCGTCAAGAGAGTCGATGCAGATGGCGCACGTGTCTCCCGAAGTCATGAACTCCGGGGGAAGAGCAGCGTTGATATGTTCGTCATCCTCCTCGGACTCCGAGGGCCTCGCAGCGTTCGGCTGAGCGACCGCCGAATCAGAGTGCGCCGGCCCGGTCTTGGTGCTGTCTGTTTTCGGGTCTGGGTCTGCCGCAGCGTTCGTGGGTGTGCTCTGCGTCTCGGGGTTTGCAGTGCTATCGACTTCGGTCTTCGGCTTGGCGGCGCTGGTCGTTGGCCTCTCTTCGGTCGAGGATCGCTCCTTGGACGCCAGGTCGGGGATGACTCCCTGAACGGATCTCACACTCCCTGGGCGGCTCGGGGGTACATCAACACCACCGCGTGTCGAGAGGCCCTCGTGTGCACGCGAGGCTACCCAGCTCTTGTATTTTTGCATGGGGAACTTCTCGTTCACCTCGTCCATTGTCATGAGCTTCTTCTCACGACGGCGGCGATGAGGCCTCGGCATGTTCTCCAGGGTGATGGGCTCCCCGTCCTCGTTTACGCGCATTTGGCGATTCCTGGCATTGTAGCGGAAGCAGTACTTGACGCCCACTATGATCCTGTGTAGGTCGCACGGCAATTAGACTTTGGGGCTTCTACGCATCATATGGCCCCAGCCGGGCATTCTCAAAAGGATCCGAGTCAAATGAGCATGCGGCGCGACATGACGACGCCATCTGCACGACATGATAAAAAAAAATAAAGGCAATTGTCTAACTTACCAGAGATTCGTAAACACAACTCCGAAGCCGAGGGCAACAAAGAAGAGCAGCGGGGAGTTCCCGTTGCCGTTGTTGCCCGTATTGCCACCCGGGCTGTTAGGATTCGAGTTGGCGGACGTATCGGACGGCGGCGCAGGCGAGGTGGTGGTGGTCCCAGACGTGGGCGCAGGACCGGAAGAGGGCGTCGAGGAGAGAGTGTCGGCGGCCTGTCGGACGACCATGCGCACGCCGTCCAGGACAGCGGCATTGATCAAAGCCATGGTGGCGGTAGGATTACCAAGCAGGCTAGTAGGAGAGACACGAAGCGATCGACGGAAGACGGCGGAAGAAGGCTCGAGGAGATGGGCTTCGTTTTAGGAAGACATCGGTGGATGATTGTCGTCGATGAATCCGGCGGCCCCAGAGGGGGGTGCTGGATTGGAACGGGTGCGTAATCAGGCCTGGCCAAGGTATCGCAGCCGCGGGCGGCCCTATCGCATCCAGGACAAGGCAAAACAGGGAGCGGCAGGGCGCAAGAGTGACAAAAGCAAAAATGCAGAAAAATGAAGGGGAAAAAGAAAGAAAAGATAGAAAAGCGGACCAGTCGACTAAATGATCAATTTTAAAATAAAATAAAAAGACTTGAGCAATCCGCTGTGCAGAACTATGATGCTTCCGCGGATCGGTCCGGGCGCGCAAGCAAAGCAAAGGACTCGGACTGGACTGGTTTGGAGGGACGAAGAGGTAAAAAGAGAGGGAGGAGGCCTGGTCGGGTTGGCGGACGGGGTGCATGTGTGGAGAAAGGCTGGCTGGCTGGCTGGCTGGCCTGGGGCTGGGGGTCTCTGGTTAAAAAAAGGGAGCAAACGGCGCAGAGTGCCCGCTGGGGGCGCCCGCGGATTGGGCAGGTGGAGGTGTGGGTGGGTGCGGCCAAGACCTAATTGCTACAGTGTGGCAGCCAAGAGTGAGAGAAGGTTGACAGGGGGCGGAGCATGTCATGTCCTCTGGATTTTTTGGAATCGGACCAGGCGTGGGTCACTGCGCAAGGTCGCCAGGAAGGGTTGGAAGGCACACACACACACACACGGTGGGAGGGGAGGAGGAGCGAGTTGCAAAAGTGGCGGCCCCCGGTCCGGGTCTGGGTCCAGTCCATTGAACTCCAGAGCGCTCCTCCAGGACGGGTGGGGATTTTGGGCGGAAAAGAGGGGGCGGATGACGGAGGCACAGCTGGGATACCCTCTAACCTTTTCGCGCCTGTCCGGCTTTGCCTGCAAGCAGTAGGAGCCATGCAGCCGGCTGGAGACGAGCTATGGCGACCCCTCTCCTCCTCTGCGTCCATGGGGGGAGGAAAAAAATTGTGGAAGTGGTCCCGAGGTGGCTGCGCTATCGGGCCTAGCTAAAAAGCCAGAGTCCACGACGACGCGTGGTTTTGGGAGCCGGTCCACGTCTTTTTTCGCTCTCGGTTTGGCCGGACCATGTCACCGTCAAGCGCCCTCTCCACGGCCAGGTAAGACGGCGTCGCACCCACGATTTGTGATGGTCACCAATGCAACTCGGACTCACTTGGCCGGGTCCCGGCAGACGACGATTCGCCATCTCGACATGGAGGCTGTGACGGCGCCAGTAGCATCAGACACTGTGCACGGCGCGACGACTGCTGCTGCCGCATCTCGTGGTGGGCTGAGTGAGCATCACAAAGAAACAAAACAACTGTAACGCAATGACGGCCCAGGGCTGAGCTGGGTTGGCTGTCCGTCCGCTGCCTCCTTCTGGTGCAAGACACAGCAGAAGCGGGGCGGCGGCGTCACAGCCTCGCACCCATGCAGCTGCTGATACAAATAATTGTCGATTGCCTGCCCAAAACGGAATGCCATGGATGGAGACGCTTTGTTCCAAATACACAAAACTAAACCCTCGTGCGAATACGACAAGGCGCGGCCGACACGGCCGAGAGGAGCGGCCCAAGTACTGTCAGCTCTTGTGCGCAACCAGCAGGAAGAAAAACAAATAAATAAACAAAAACCAAGCGTGTGGGGATCTGCCGTGGCTGCGATTTGCGTTCGCAGCGGCGGCTAAAGCTGGTCCCGCCCGGCTGCTTTGAGTGCTTGTTGGTTGCAAGAAACCGGAATCCGCGAAGGGCCCTGGCATGTGGAAGTGGAAGCTGTCCGCCCGTGGTGTGGGCATCAATGTCAAGGTCCCTGACTGGATGCCAGCACACAACACACACGCCCCCACACGCGGCAGGGCAAAGCCACGCTTGGCTCCTTGCGATTGTTAGTTACTAGTGTGGTTCTGTTGCTGATGCTGTGGTCGTTAAGTTACGGTCATGATTGCACAGACTCTGATTTGATTTCATACCAGCTTGACTTTCCTCCAGACCATTTCTATGCGTAACCGGCGGCATGGAAGCCCAAAAAGCCTTTTTCCGTCTCACCTCATCCTGTTCTTCCCTTTTTTTCTTTGCCATCGGCTATGAGCCTGGTCTTCCGGGTACCTCGGAATGCCGTACGAGGATGCCGCCTGTCCGGGCGAGGCTTGTTGTAGGCGGATCGCTCCCGGGGAAGCGCCCGTGGCTAGGCAAGCGTGCTCGGCTTGTTCGTCCGTTGTCAGTTCGCGTCGGCTGTTTGTCCGGCAGCCAGCGTGGGCTAGGGGGGCCACCAGGAAGGTTGTCCCAGAAGCCCGATTCATTCGTCGTGGTCCGTGTCTCCAACATGCCCGTGCGTCGACTGCTCGCGTGAGAGGCTATGCGCTTTTTAATGGACGAGTCGGGGTCCGAGGGCCAACCGCTACAAGGTCCAGACCGTGCTGGTATGGAGGTTATTGCCCCTTTCCCTTCTTCTACATAATCTAGTCCATCTCCTCCTGGGCGAGGCTCTCTCTGCTCACTTCCACGGCCACTCCGACGTCCAAGTGCCTACTAGGCGCCTTTAGTTCATAACTCCAAGCAAACAGGTGCTACTAGAGGCGTGGGGCGGCCGCCGCGTCCAGACAGTGCCGGCCCGGTGCTGGGATCTGCCAGCGGGGGCGGGACGAACTGACAGCTTGTCCATATCATGTTTCTTGCACGTCCTGTCTTTGGTCTCGGACACGAGTCGCTGCCGCACTTCGCTCCCGCAGTTAGGTCGACGTAGGGAGATGGGGCGAGTGAAAAAAGAAAAAAAAAGAAAAAAAGTTGAGCTTGTGTCACTCGAGTCGTAATCGCTTTTTTGCTTCCTCCTTTTCTCTGTTTGCCTTCCAATTTCCTCGCGTCCATTAAACTCTGGCCCACGGGACGCACGGATAGGCGCAGGTGCGTGCTGGTGGTCCAGCAACATGGAGCCGAGATGGGCCGGATCGAGTTCCACTGCGGCGTGCGCAGGTCTAGGTATCGCAGCCATGCATCTTTCTCAGCGTGTTTCTCATGGTAACCGGCGGGGCCCGGTTGACTTGCACCGAAACGGGATTATTCGTTTTGGCGGCGCCCGAGCAACCCGCCTTCCTTGCTCGCAAAAACCCCCCGGCGGAGTAGCCAAGGCATTCGGGGTCCCAGCCAGCTGGTACCGCGTTTTTTTTTTCAAGGGGCCGTCCGAGAATCCTTTTCACACACTCCAAAACACATCCGGGGGAGCTGGTCGGCGCCCGCGGAGACTCAATGAAAGGGGAATCTATTGACCAACACAACGGATCCCCAATTCTGACACCAACAGCGGACAAAATACGGGAGGAGCCACAACGTCCAGAGCTCGGCTCGGCCAATTGATGCGCAACCAATCACACCGATAGACGCTTCCTGCTGTGCTTGCACTGGTAGAGTTTTGACTTATTAGGAATCATGTGCCACCACGCCCCCGTCTCCTGACGCGGCCAGCATGGAGGCGCCCAAGGCCTAGACAGCACATAGTTGCCGTCATCGGCACCGCCCCCTCATCGCGCCTCTTGCCATTCCGACCATGCCGAGAGGCTTGGCTTGACCTTGAGGCCAGGTGCGCCGTTCTAATAGGCGCGGGGCGGCGGGTGGGTGCGCCTACAGTGTCTAAGCCACAGCTATTCCGCGTCTTCAACCCGGCCAGGCGAGCAGGTGGGGGGCGGGGGAAACGGCATTGGACATCGGGGACTGTCATCCACATGGCACCGCGGCAAGTAAACAAAAAAAAGAAAGTTGTTAACCATGACGCCGTATTCCCGGGCAGCATGGGGAAGGAGGGTAAACAGCCGTTTCGAGACTGCCGGCGCCTTGCCTGCCATGGCAGTCCGGGGGCACCCCACATAGCCCTGGAGCAGAGGGCGAGTCTGGCCGAGCTCAACGGGCACCCTCGAAACGAGGCAGGAAGGGTTATCCATCCAATGCTGGGTAGGCGCGGCTCGGTGGCCGTGGGGCGGGGATTATCGGCCGCGATCGGGTTCAGACCAAACCAGGATACGGCTGTCGCTGCATCTTACTCCCGAGTAATCTCCGCACGCACCGGAAAACGCCCGCTTTCTCGTGGTGGACTCGTCTGGGCTCTGCCGTTTGGACATCGAAAACACACCATGTCGGCGCCGTCGGGCGATTGGGCAAAGTGATGGGTGGCTCTATCAGTCACAGGACATATGCTATCGCTTGTTGTCCAAGTATTGATGCACACAGCCTCCAGGTAGCTTTAACCGGGCGTCTTACCTATAGTTTTGTAAATGGAATTGTTTTTTTTCTTGGGCTATTTTAGGGTTTGTTTCCTCGGTCGGCGCCAAGTCAGCAGTATCGGGGTTATCTTGTCAAATAAATGCTATCTCCGCTCCTAGTGCTTACGGCTGTGGTAGCCTGGGCTGTGAGATGGCGAGGCAAGTGAATGTCATGGCCCGGGGGTGGGTTGACGCCGACATGTGTCAGACCGAGGTCCCACGGCAAGGCGTGGCGGCCATGAAGCCCAGGTATCGGCTCCGGCAGCAAAGATGGGAGTCAGAGAGAGCCCAGATCTGCCGGTCCGGAGCCGGAGTCGGAATCGGACGACGTTTCGGCTGGCGGCTAGACCCGAACCCGGGCGGTTTTTCTTTTGTTCTTTTTTGCATGCCCCACACCCGGAGTGGGGCAGTCTTTTGCCAATTCCATGTCGAACGCCCTCTTGCGGGCTGCAGCCCAGCGTCGACGCGTTTACATGGATGGGACTGCTGCACGCGCGCTGCACACCACCATCTTCGCCGACCCTGTCGTAACCCGCTGGCCGAGCCTGCTTTAGATCCCACCCCCACCCTTTGTTGTGCATCTTATAACCCCCGAGGGGAGCTAAAGAGGAAAGATGGCGCCCACCCAGCTTCCCGAGTCGGGAAACCCTCTGTAAGAGCACGCCTCCAGCACCAGGAAGATCTCGTCCCGAAGCCGGGATGCATGCGTGGCACAAGAGCTCGTCTCCCATGTGGTAAAAAGGAAAAGATGATCAAGACTGATGAACCATGCCACCCACAGCGTCTTTTTCGACATGACGCTTGGAGGTGAGGACTAATCTTTGTCTGCTGCTTCTCTAGAGAAGAAGAAAAAAAGAACTAATAAGCAACC